CAATCAAGATATAATATCCCACCCTTCATTGTGTTTATCTGGGTAATGGACATGCAGGAGGAGGGAGGGAGTTGGTTGTCATTTACCACTATATATATATACCCACGTGTGACTCTGTAGTCACATGGGTGGCTCAGATACGATAGAGAGGAAATGCTAAGGGTACAAAATACACTGAAAAACTGAGCATGTGCACTAGTTGCTAACACTGCTCTGCAAAATCCCCAACTGCAGTGGGGACATGGGCTGGAGGGAGGCATAGACAACAGCAGGATCAGCCAGGCTTTTTGCAGAATACAGAAAATGAGTGAATAGTAACAGCATGTAATACGGCATTTATTGATAGTTTTTAATGATGTAGGATTAATGATACTTTAAATTAATCAGTACATTTGTAATGGCATTACAGGCTACACCTAGTCCTCCAGCACAGAATGATGCATCTGTGCGTTTGCACATTTCTATTGTTTCTTTGATATAATGACTACACTGGAGTTCATTTCTTGAGAATACAGGCTGGAGCTATATAAGTAGTCAGAGGATTTCCAGTAAATGGCTGAGCTGTCAGTTGCATGTCTGTAGCAGCTGAAAATTAATTTTTTTTTTTTAGTTTTATATAAAGTGAGAAACATTTAAAGTGGTTGTAAAGGGTCAAGGTTTTTTTACTTGCATGCATTCTATTCATGAAGGTAAAAAAGATTCTGTGTAGCAGCCTCCCCCCCCCTAATACTTACCCGAGTTCCCTCTCGATCCAGAGATATGTACGAGAGCACCGGCTGCCCTGGGTCTTTCCCTCCTCATTGGCTGGGACAGCAGTGAGAGCCATTGGCTCCCGCTACTATCAATCACAGCCAGTGAGCCAATGAGCAGAGAGCAGGGGCAGGGCCAAGCCGTGCTCTGCGTGTGAATGGTCACACAGAGCAGTGACTGCCCCCATAGGAAGCTACTTGGGGGCACTCAGCAGGATTGAGGGCCAGGGGCGCGCCGGAGGAGGACCCGAGAAAGGGAGGAGCCAGGAGTTCCGGCGGGGGACCAGAGAAGAGGAGGATCTGGGCTGCTCTCTGTGCAAAACCACTGCACAGACCAAGTAAGTATAACATGTTTTTTATTATTTTTGTTAATCCACCTTTATTATCACTTTAACCCCTCGCCCTATTAGATAATTCATCCCTGATTGTTGTGGTGACCAATATAATCTAGAAGGAAAATTTTATTGCAAACAGTGAGGGACCAGAGGGGAACTCCCCTTACTCTGGTAGATTTTCTCTAACATCTTGCTGTGTCTCTGGGACAGGAAGTTAACAGACTCAATGGCAAAAAAAAACCCCAAAACTAACAGGGGTTGTAACTTTTTCCAACTCTAGCCAAAGCAAAACAAAAAGTTTAAGTTATACATACACTTTAAACATGTCCCAGCATCAGTTGCAGTAAACAATGCCCCATTGTTGGTGTCATTGGTAGGAATAGTGCCCCATCATTAGTGTCATTGGTAGGGATAGTGTCCCATCATTGGTGTGATTGGGAGGAATAGTGTCCTATTGTTTTTGTAAATGGGAGGAATTGTGCCCCATCATTGATGTAATTGGGAGGAATTGTACCATATCACTGGTGTAATTGGGAGGAACTGTGCCCCATCACTAGCTTCATTGGAAGGAATTGTTCCCCATCATTGGTGTCACTAGGCCCCATTGTTGGTGTCATTGGGAGGAACTGTGCTCATCATTGGTATCATTGGGAGGAATTGTGCCCCATCACTGGTGTCATTGGAAGGAATTGTGCCCCATCATTAGTGCCATTGTGCCCCATTGTTGGTGTCATTGGGAGGAACTGTGCCCCATCGTTGGTGTCATTGGCAGGAACTTTACCCCATTGTTGGTGTCATTGGGAGGAACTATGACCCATCATTGGTGTCATTGGGAGGAACTGTGTCCCATTATTGGTGTCAATAGATGAAATAGTGGCCAAAGGGCTGGATAAAAGCAAGCAAAGGGCCACATCTGGCCCCTGGGCCACAGTTTGGAGACCACTGTTTTAGAGCCCCACACTTCTCCTTTACTGCTGAGTCCACTTTAAGTGTTTTGCTGAGTTTATAAATAATCATAACTTTCCTGTAATCATAACTTCTAGCTATTTTGTCTTTCTCCCTCATAGGGATACCCTTCCGGGACTAGGCAACATACAGCAAGAATCTGAGATAAAGAAACTACTGGATCAGTGTGAAACCAAAGGCACTGAAATAGTCCTGAGACTGCTGACTCCAAGAATAAAGGTATTTACAACTAATTTAGTCTAATTTTGTATGTCAAGGGCTATTGTATAAAGGTGGAGAAAAGGCAGTGACTGTGACGGACAACCAGTCCGGTTCCAACCTGTATTATTGTGTAGGTTCAAAGAATACATCCAGAAAGAACACATTCTAGTTATGGGTAAGAAGGGTGAAATGACATTAAATACATTAACCTCCATGATCCAAAGATCAAAGTGCCAGCTTCCAGGACCTGTGCACATCTTTGACAACTAACATTATTTAATGAACCAACCACAAGCCTGCCTAATTCAAACTGATTATATGAGGAAAAACTGCCTAAAGGAAGTTACCTTCAAAAAAGATCAGTAGAGACAGATGCAGCTGAAATGACATGCAAATGTTTAATTTGTCCCATCTTCACCCAACCCCTAAGTCTCCATATTGGCGGTGGTGTCATGTACCTGGTGGAGATCAAGCTGAAGAGGGAGCTTCTCCTGTACTTTTTGTCCAATACTCCTGGTAATGGTGTCAGGAAGTATGAGTACACAGAGTAGCACTAGGGCCAATGCAGCAGGCAGGTCCAGCTGTTGGTTTCATGTTCAGAATGACCGTGGATCACCATACAGAGACCAGAGACAGTACACGGTGACACTTGATCAGCAGACTGGAGCAAAGCCAGGACACAAACCAAAAGGTCATCAACAAATGGGTAGCAAGGTACAGGAACATCAGGCAGAGAGTCAGGAAGCAAGATACAGGAACGCAAGGTAGAAGCTGAGCCATGGTACACGTCAAGGTCATAACAGGTTGGCAGGAATCTGAAGACAGGTTAAAGGCAAGCTGAGTCATGCACAGGAAGGCAAATATACCAGGTCAGGGCACAGGTAAAGCAGAAACTAGCAGAAGACCACTCAGCAATCTGTTGGTGTCACAAGCCAGCTGAAATAGGCCGTCTGGCTCCAATGCCTGTGCCACTCTGACTGCAATAGTCTTCTAGTTCCATACATACTGGGCTTTTCTTACAGACGGGAAGCACCTAAAATAAACATTATCCGCTCTATTGGGGAGGAACCATGGTATGTCCTTGTCATTATTAATTACTGCCTAAAGCTGGCCTTTACTGTGTTCAACTTTTATTTCTAGAGTGCCTTCAAAAATTTCTTTACGAAAAACAAACTTGACTTTGAAAATGTTCTCAAGGAGCTTCGGGATGCATTAAGCAAACAAGGCATTGATCATAACAAGGTGAGCTTTTTAAATAGCAAAAATAACCCGTGTTATATAAAGTAAATGTACAGTGAATACCCTGTTTTAGGCTGGAGTATTCCTAGTAAATTTAATCTTTGCATCTGGCCTGTAACCGGCCTGAGCTCTGTTCTTGTTGTCTGTGCTCGCAAGATTTCTCCCAAGACCTGGGCATCGATTATTTCTGCCTACAGCTGTCAAGTTTTCTACAATAGTTAGTGTGAGAGGTAACAATGTATGGGTTATCAATATTTATGTATCTCAGCCAATTACTGAGAGGGTTTTGGGCCATTGTGGTTACCTAAGGGGAGAGGAGAACTGTTTGGATCACCTTTCTAGAAAGGTCTTGATCTTTACAAGTGGGATTTTGCCTGGTGAGGATTCCACAGTGAAGAAGTATTTTCTTCTTGAGCCTTGCCCTTGTCAAAGGCCCAAGGAACCCAAGATGTTATTGTTAATGTTTTGAATTTTATTTGTTGGGCAATGATGGGAAGCCAGTGGAGGGATTGGCAGAGGGGGGGTGGCAGATATGGAACGGTTAGTAAGGTGGATGAGTCTGGCAGCAGCATTCATGATAGACTGAAGAGGGGATAGCCTGCGATTAGGTAGGCCAATGAGGAGGGAGTTACAATAGTCAAGGCGAGAGATAACAAGGGAATGAATAAGTTGCTTAGTGGTTTCTGAGGTTAGGAACGGGCGTATCTTGGAGATGTTGTGGAGGTTACATTTTTTTACAATATGCACAGTTTAAGAGCTTCCTTAATTCTGTTCTGGGAAAATAATTTTTGTCAAAGCTCCATCCAATTTGTCTGCCTTTATTGGATAAGCCATCTGAAAAGCGTGGATTGTCATGGTTTTATTTCTCGAAGAACAAGAAAGGCTCAGATCCTCCTTTAAATTCAGGATAAATGGGCCAGGTTCTTGAGTATACCACCCGAGGAAGCCTGGTCCCATATCCAATAAGATATATACAGTATATAGATAGATATTGAATGAACACACATAGGCCAGTGACAAGTCCATTTACACATTAAAATGAAGATCATGAAGTTTGATAGAGCTTGCAGACTATTCCTATGCTAATTCTTAACAGGCAGACACGGTATGGTACCTGTATAACTGTAATGGATAAAAAATGTTCATTGGTCAGATGCCCAGTTTACTGTGGTCTTAAGTACTTAAAAAAATATCAGGGATTTCATTTTATTCATAAATTACCCTCTTCTTTTTGTCAGAAATGTCTTCTTGACAAACCTGATATATATATATATATATATATATATATATATATATATATTTATATTTATATACACAGTATATAAACAAGGAAGAATATGAAATAAACAATGTTCTGCAATTATAACAACATATGAATAAAATAACTATGATACATGATTATTTGTTTTTTTTTCTTCTAACCAAACAGCAATTCAACACAATAGTTCAGCACAGAATTAAAGTGCTATACATTAAATCATTCTTCAAAAACAAATGCAAAAATAAAGTAGAAACATTTATACAAGGAAGCAAGAAACTGAAGGAATTCTTCACTGAGTTGGTAAGTGTGTAAAATTAGATTCTGCAATAGATAATAATTATTATTGAAGGGGGGGTTCTGCTAATAAAAATTGGAACTTTGCCTGAGACTTTTTTCTTATAGTTACATAGAATTGTCTTCTATCATATACCTTTTACGTGGAATTGTTTTTTGTTGCTTTAGTGCAGGGGTCCTCAAACTGCGGCCCGCCGAGGACATGTATCCGGCCCGCTGGGCAGGGGTGTATCTGCCATGGTCGGGAGAGCTCGGCAGGGCTCGGGCGGGAGGCAGGAGGGCGGGATCAGCAATTCTAGAACAGGGGAAGGTGGGCTCAGCTTATGAACCCGCACCACTCACCTGGCATCTCTGCAGCCAGCCGGCCATCTATTTTGATCAGTGCATGCAACCGTCACAGCCGGAGGGCGGAGCCTAGAGCTGACCATGAAGAGGAGGAGCAAGAGAGGAGACTCCATCGCTGCATGTCGGGTATCATGGCCACGGACCCTAGATATGTGCAATAGATGATCTCCCTCTCTCTTTCCCCCCCCTTCCCCCTCCTCTCTCTCTCTCCCACCCTCCCCCTCTCTCTCCCCCCCCTCCTCTCTCTCTCCCCCCTCCTCTCTCTCTCTTCCCCCTCCTGTCTCTCTTCCCCCCCCCTCTCTCTCTCTCTCTCCCCCTCCCCCTCTCCTCTCTCCCCCCCCCCTCTCTCTCCCCCCTCCACTCTCTTTCCTCCCCCTCTCCTCCTCCTCTCACTTCCCCCTCCCTCTCTCCCCCCTCCTCTCTCTCTCTCCCCTCATCTCTCTTTCCCGCCTCCTCTCTCTCTCTCTCCCCCCTCCCTCTCTCTCTTCCCCCCTGTCTCTCTTCCCTCCCCCTCTTTACTCTCCCCCCCTCTCCCCTCATCTCTCTTTCCCCCCTCCTCTCTCTCTCCTCCTCCCCCTCCTCTCCCCCCCCCCTCTCCCCCCCCCCTCTCCTCTTTCTCTCTCCCCCTCCCCCCCCTCTCTCTCCCCCCTCCCCCCCCCCCCCCCTCTTCTCTCTCTCTCCCTTCCCCCTCCTCTCTCTCTCCCTTCCCCCTCCTCTCTCTTCTCCCCTCCTCTCTACCCCCCCCTCCACTCTCTCTCTCCTCTGCTTATCTCCCCCCTCCCCTCTCTCTCTTTACATTGTACACAGATCTGACCCAACAAGGTGTCCTGCATTTACCGTATATTTCACTCCATAAGACACACTTGGGGGGAAATGTCTGTGTGTATTATGGAGCAGCCGGCCCAGTATTCCCGCCGCCGTTGTATGTCCGCAGTCTCTGGTCATCTCATGTACTATGTCCGCAGTCTCTGGTCATCTCCTGTACTGTGTCCGCATTTATTCATAGTTTTTTTTTTTGTAAACCATAGTCCTGCCCTCCAACGGTCTGAGGGACAGTGAACTGGCCCCGTTTAAAAAGTTTGAGGACCCCTGCTTTAGTGAGTCACAGAGCATTTACGTATTCAAATAAACAAGTTGTAATACCAGTTTTTACCAGCAGTGGTGCTGGTGAAAAATGAGATTGCGTCTCTGGTTCCAAAATGAAAAACCCCTTTAAAGAGAACCTGTACTGTCCATACAAGCCATAGTAAAATATTCAGTTTATGGGAGGGATAATATGCAGTACTTGCCTACATAGCACTACCCTGCCACTCTGATCAAGAGATTTTTGTGTAAGTTTCGTTCGGCACTAAAGAAGTTTAAAGTGATCTGAACCCAACAAAAATAATGTATTGCAGCTTACCAGACCTTAGATGTGGTGGCTGCATTATGTTTCTTTTTACAGGGTTTTTTCTAGATATCTGCGATTCGTTTTGTTATGAATCCAAATTTGGACAAAATGTCCTTTTTTTGGAGATTTGGATGTATCAGATTGCATAGATGTAACCTTTGTTTTATTGGGCTGCCTGAACATGCTGAGGGCTCAGATCCTGTCAGGTTCTTGGAAAATCTTCTTATCTTGGCAGAGAGGCCTTCTTGGCTATGTTTGTGGTGCAACGTGAACACCACATGCCTGCCAATTAAACGCCACCTGTAGCCAAACTGTGCACCTGCCCTTCATCCATAAACGCCTTAACTATCCAGACCAAAACCTGGTTCTTTACCTAACCCATGAGAAGGGCAACATCTTATTCCGTGATGCCAAACTTGCAGTCTTTCCAGACTACTCATGGGAGTTGAGCGCTGGCCCAGGGTTCAACATCTCAAGTATTCAGTGTTATACCCTGCCAGGCCCTGGGTCATTGGTAACAAATAAACTCACTACTTTGAGGATCCCAAGGCAGTGCTGACCTGGCTGGAGCATAGGGCTGTGAATTGAGCGGTCTGTTCTGTCACCTGGTGATCCTGGAGAGTGTGTGTCTGGTGGCCATGCTTGCCCTTGCAGTCTATGATGCTGCTTACTGCTCCCTGCTCCATTCTATTCTACTCTAACACACTTGACTGTCCCCCTGCTTACCCTTTATTTCTTGAGGGTGACCTGCATCCTGATTTGGTCACTCTATGTTGTTGTGGATAACTCCTGCTTTTGTTATCCTTGAGTAACCAGCATGTCCACACCAGAGATTCATCTTTTTTGCCAGTGGACTGCTCCTGGATACCTTTTCTCTATTATTTTATGTCTACAAGTATGGACTTTCGTGCTTTTGCTCCTGAAGTGCATGAGTGCTCCACACCAGTGGATACGAGTTTCTGTTTGGGCAGGCTTCCATCACCCTGCCAAATGTGCATTACCTCCCAGTGGGTCTTGCAGCCCTTTAGACACACTTTTATTCAAGTTTTTAAGTATCTCTTCCTTAGACAGAGTTGTTGGTCTCCAACATGTTAGCTGCACCAGTGTACTCACGGAGGGGAAATTGATGGTGGTGTCTCTTCCCCATCTGTGAGTAGGTAAAGACTGTGTGGTTTCTTTGTTGTTTTTTGCACCTGACGGTTGCATAGTTCTTTTACTTTTCTTATGTTGTGTAGCACTACCCCCTTAGGAGTCGCTAGTGATTTGGGTCCCCCTATAGTCCTGCACAGCTAGGCAACATGCATTTCCTTACAGCCTTGCACTCCAGAGACAGTAAACAGTCCTTAAACTTGTTTTTTTTAGGGGTATTGAACTTGGATGAGGGATACATGGCATGCCCAAGGAACTGTTGAACTGAGGACAACTTCCTGGAACTATGTACAAGTGCTCAGAAGGGTTTTCTCTTTTGGAGAGCTATCCAGCCTCTCCTGGTGTACCACCTCAGACCCCAAATAAAATCTCCTCTTCACCCAGCTGCTTGAGTAGGGTTGCCACCTCATCCCTTAACTGAGCGCATATTAATTACACAGGTTCTGAGGCTAATTTAAAGCAGATAAGGCACTGTTTAATTACCACCGTAATCAGCCACAGAACCTGTGTAATTAATATGTGTTCAGTTTTAAAGGGATGAGGTGGCAACCCTATGCCTAAGGGAATCCCTGGGCAAGAGGACCCAGAATCTGCCTGCTTAAGATCAGCAGTTCCAGATGGGGGCTAGTCAGGTTTCCCACCTGAATGCCCTTTCCCCATCTCTGGCCCAGAGGGTGTGGTATTACTCACTCAATCCCTCAGCTTGTGTGTCGGTGACTGCACTCAGGCCTTACGCTGGGCTGGCTCCTTCCCTGCTCCCTAAGTTGTCCTCTCTCAGGTGACGATTGAGGCTTCAGCTCCTCCACCTATAGGTAGTCCCTTCTCCTGGACCTCCTCCCAGGCTCCACACTCCATCCTGCTCACTCCATTTTCCACCTGAACTCTCCTGCTGCTGAGCAGGCTCGGTCACTCTTAAGGGCTGTCCTGACCTATGCCAAGCCTCCTACTTGGAAATCGGCCAAGATCCCTTTAAAGTGCAGTCCAACTCCTCCTCACCCCCGCCCGCTGAATTCTAGAGACTTCTCAGAGTCTCTAGATCAGGGGAGGTTTCAGGGAACTGATCTGCAGAACCCCTCAGTCCTAACCCAAATTTTACCCCTATGGCTATTACACCATGCTGCTATTCAGCTTTTAACTAAAAAATAATTAACTAGCTCCCCCTAGCTTTCCTAGGAGGGTGCTACAGTTGAATTATTTGATTATTTTGCCTTGCTCATTTATGAGGGTCTACCCAGACTGCTGTGTGGTCCCACAGAGCAGGCCAGGCCCTACTGTATTTCTTAATAGGTGTATGCTTTTTAGCACCTGATACCACACTTTGGATTCAGTGCGGTTTTAGGAAATGTACTGTTTCTGTACCATCATCCATGAGTTGTTGCTTTACATGCATTATCCTTGGGCTCTGCTAGTTGGCATCAGCATGATTCTCAGATTGCTTATTATGGCTCCTTTGAAATTTCTAATCTGGAATGTCTGAGGTCTTCATGACAAAACTTGTGCAGTATGGGGGGGAATCCCACTGCAAGGGTAGCTTTAACAATTCCTTGCGGTTCAGCTTTAAGGCACGGATACTAAAATAAAGCACTCTCAAGGTCCATGCACACTGGTCTTACAAAAATGATAGTTTCCTTACAGAAAAAAAACCCCTCATATAGAGTATTTTTGTACAGGAGTTTAGGAGCTTCTATGAGAGTTTAGGAGTATTTAGTGTTTTTTTTTTTCTGCCAGAAAACTGCTCTCAAAAAGGCAAAACAGAAGGGTTTTTTTCTTGTAAATGCTGAGCTGAAAATATGCCCTAAGTATCCTAAAGTGCATGGACACATAGGATAACATTGAGCTGCTTCTACAAGGAAAACACTAAAAACTTCTCTAGAAGCAGCATTTGTAAGACATTGTGCATGAGCCCTTTGACGTTCAAACCCTCCCTCACTTTACTAAAAATCTAAAAAGTTTTGATTTTTTGTCCGTGTGCCCACTGAAGAGATTTCTATGACTTCCAATCCAAACATGAAGTGAGGGCAATTCTCTGCAATAGAGACACAGACCATTTTTTTGTAAAGCAATTCTCTCATGAGAGAGAAACATGGAGGGTACTAATACTGACATCTCCTTTTGAAAATGCTGGATGACTGGCTGTCATGCAGACCCTCTGGCTTGAATGCGTTGAATTGGAACAAGTAGGCAGATAACATAACTTTTCTTTGACTTCCTAAACTGCATAAATATGGGTATTGAAATACCCATATACCCAAAAAAAGCTATTCCAAGCAGATGGTCGAGATAGCAGCCAGCCAGCTACCATATTCTGAAGTAGTTCAGCAATGGTATCACCTGTATTTCTACACCAGGGATATAAAAGGAAAGATTCACACTGATTTTATTTTTTTCATATAAAGGTTTCAGATAAAGACCAGCTGGGTGATGATCCACTAGAATATATGATGCAAATGCTGACTGCAAATGACTTTAACTCATTGCTAATAACAACCATATACTTTCTCGACGAACACCAAGACCTAAGGTGAATTATTATATAGACTTTTTGTACAATATCTTCTGATTTCTATTTTTCTTTTATCCATTCTGGTGAAATATCATTAAAACGTTACATATATAAAAACAAGATCATTTCTTCTCAGCTTATCATAGTGATGAGTAGAACACACCTGGGTTTGGTTTGAGGCAGGTTCAGGGAACATTACTAAGATTTGGGTGCTGAATACAAAAGTCAGTGAATTCAAAAGGAGTAAAAATGTTAAAATACAATAATGACAATTTTCTAACTTAATAGGCAAAGGATTGTCAAACAAATGGAATGGGAGGCTGGGCCTTGCCCTGGGGTACATGGACCAAAGCAAAAAAAAAAAATAGTTAAAAATATTCCATTTGGTGAAGGGATCGATTTTAGTAATGCCTAAAGTGAAGCATTAAAAATGGAAAGATTCCTTTAGATAACATGCCTGACATGGTACATCTGTGTAATGCATGCAACCTAGTATAGCGTATCTGACATTTACAAAGAAAAACAAGTGGGAGCACATATGCAAACTGTTGTAATTCCTACACCGTTCACCTGATTTGGATGTAAATGCCCTCAAATTAAAGCTGACAGTCTGCAGTTAAAGCACATCATTTGTTTCATTTCAAATCCATTGTGGTGGTGTATAGAGCCAAAAATGTTAGAATTGTGTTGATGCCCCAATATTTATGGACCTGACTGTATATATTAATGGGGGAAACCATGCACAAAATAAATGGCATGGGGGCTTCACCTAATTCAAACCAGGTCCTGTGGGTCCTGCATGAATTTTAATGGAGAAACCCAAGATCAAGAAAAAAAAAAGTGTGCACTCTTCCCCAAAAATAAATGACACATTCCCATCTGAGAAAAGCACCTTGTCCCCATGTTGATGAGGACAAAGGCTTCTTCCCCACAAATCTGGCCCAGTGGTTGTGGGGATTTGCAGGTGAAGGGCTTATTGGAATCTGGAAGCCCCCTTTTAACAATAAAAGGAACCCTAGATACTGCCCCTTTATGTGAATGAGTAAGGACTACATAGTACCCGTATTCATTCACAGAAGAAAGTGTATTAAAGATAGAAACCTTTTTAGATAAGTTTATTAAAAAAAAGTCCTAAGATGTCCGCATCAATCACATCGTTCAGCAATGTAGATCTACATAAATCACATTTCCTGAAGCCTAGCAACCTGCTGACACATACCTGGCTCTGTCACCAGAAGGGGCCCTCCAGATTCCAATAAGCCACCTGCCCACAGATGCACACCACTACTAGGCTAGAATTGTGAGAAAGAGGCCCTTGTCTTCATGGCAAGGCCCCCCCAACGTTGAGGGCATGTGGCCTGGTATGATTCAGACCGGAAGGGCTGCATGCTCGTCCTTCCCCCTATCCTGCATGTTTGAATAAGGTTCTGGTATGGAACTCTGGGGGGGGGGGGGGGGGGGGGTGTTGGAACTTCACATTTGTATGCTGATTTTTGTTTTTATTGAGGTTTTCCCTTAAAATCCAGTGTCTGGGAAAGAACTTAGGGTGGATCTCATGCTGCTTTTTTATTTTTTTGGGGGGGGAGTTCTTCCATTAACATCTATACCAAACTAAATCTCATCAAGGATAAGGGGTCCACCTTAAAGATCCTGGTATGAATTATGGGGGAATTATGGGAGAACCCCCATACTGTTTTTTTTTTTCTATCCCCAGCTCCTTTGCTTACATGCCTGGGGATTCCCAGCAATGTAAGTAAATGGGGCCGGTGACACAGTTCACTGCACTTCAGTTATGAATGTACAGAGTCAATGATCGATACCGGCCACTGACTCTCCATTCAGAAAAGGAAGGGGCCGTTAAATTACATATTTATCGGCCCCTTCCACACTCTCCATCCTGACAGCATCCCCCACAGCAGCCAACGGGAGAGGAGAGGGGGAACTCGGCAGCCCTTCAGAGGAGGACGGAGGGAAGGAAAGAGCTGGGGGGGGGGGGGAGAACACCAAAAACATGGGGGGGGGGGAGTGGAGAGCTTGGGGGCCACCAGAGAGCATGGGGGTGCCAAAGAGCATTGGGGGGGCCAGAGAGCATGGGCGGGATGAAGAGCATGGGAGGGGCACCAGAGAGCATGGGAGTGTGTGAAGAGCATGGGGGTTCAACAGAGAGCACAGGGGGGCCAAGCTGATGCTGGAATATGTGAAAAGGCATGTCACAATAAATCATGTCCTATAGAAACCAATACATTTCATCATGTCCACTAATCAGGGAGGCACACTTTGCATGGTGCATTTTCTTTAATTCACAGAAACCTGTCCCCATCATTAAAAAGCTAGTTGGTTGTGTAGCCAAACGCCAGGCCAAGGATTCCCAAATCCTCCTCTGGATCTAGTGGAAATTAGATACTTCAATAAATGATCTCCATCAAACATGTAAAAAAAAACCCCATTAAGTTCCATCTGCTGAATTACAATGCTGAGATTGCATAATATTATTCTACAATATTTCACATTTACTCGATAACAATTGTGTTGACCATGTATTATTTAGCACTGATTATAATAAAGAAAAGAAATACTCCATGCTCCCTTGTTTTATTGTTACAGGAAAGAACACGTGATGGCTATTTTGAAAATTAAAGGTGACGTCAAACACAAAGAGAAAAAGGACCTTTTAATTTATATAAAAAACAGGAAGACTCTTTTTGGAGAAAACAGGCTGAAGTTTTTTGAAGATGTGAAAATAGAAGGTTTTCTTTGTAGGTTATTATGGCACTGCCTATCCTGCTGTACATAGGCCCTTTCCAAATACCATCCAATTCAGTAAACCACAGCAGGACATGTAATATTATTTGTACATATGTTTTATAGTAAGTTGGACATTTTGAGGCGTGATAAGATCATCACTGGAATGTGATTTTGAAAAAAATCAAATATTTATTATTAAATATTTTATCATTTGATGTTACTGTTGTGCAGTTTCTTCCCAGCTGTCATCTGGACAGTTCACAAATGTCTGAGGCAGTGGGTGGTCCTTGCACCTGGACAGCAGTACTAAGAGCCAAGCCCACCATGACAACGTCCCCCCCCCCCCCCCCCCCCCATTGGGGAGTTGATGGTTTCCTGCGCTCACAGGAGCTGGTGTTCTGTATATTGTATATCATCATTGTGTTGAGTAGGGAGCCATCTATTGGGCATTCACTGCAACTGCAGTCTATCTTCTGAAACAGGAAACGTTTCACTCACACTTCAGCCCAGTTCCAGCTTAGCTTCCAGAAGAACAAACCAGTGAAGGCTTCCCTCCTTCTTTGATAAACATATGCCTGTAAGTTCTTTCATTGTGTTTGTCAATGTTACATACATAGCTAGAGCTCATTTAAATGTATTCAATATGATTAGTAGATAGCTGCTTGCAAGAAATGTATTCATTCCTTGCATTCGTGAGAGACATTCATACGAGCATATTGTAATTTCAGTTTACAAGATTTTATTGCAGTTTTAGAGAACTATTCACAGAAGTAAATTCAGTTTTGGAATGAAACACAATGCTGCTTCTGTCAGTTTTGTTAGCTAGCTGTCGGCTAACCGTTTGTAGGACAGCATAGCTGGGTTGTATGACCAGAGGCGGACTGACCATTTGGAAACTTGGGCACTGCCCGAGGGCCCGGGGTCAGTAGGGGGCCCCATGAGATGCCCCTGGTACCTTTTTCATAGGCTTTTTTGAGTTTGGGCAAGGACACAGGGGCCCCATGATCCCCTATTGCCCGGGGGCCCCATGAGTTGTCAGTCCGTCCCTGTGTATGACTCTAGGTCAACTAAAACACAGGGGAAATGTGCATGGATTGGAATGATGTACTAAAACATTTTAAAATGTTTTACATTTCACCCAGGCAAACACATTAGGGGTGCTCATTACAGGGGTTGGGTTAGATTTTCAACAAATTAAGTGTTAGAGGAAACTTTATTATAGGGGACAATTTACTATTTAACTAATTTGGGCAGATTTCGGATTGTTGTTTGTTGTAAGTGCTGAGAGATACACACCAAAACTACAGTAGCTGGAATACTGGAGACTATAATTGTGTGAAAGTGATTACCAATATTAGATAGCAATATTGATTCTCATTTCCATGGATTGTTTTTAGAGGACTGTAGAGCATCAGCTGTCAGGCCTTCAGGAGGCAAAAGTGCCATCTCAATGCCAGTTTTGTTGTTTGTGCAGCCAAGTGGAGATTTTGAATTGGAATACTGCTCCACAAATGTGAGACAAGCGTTTGGTTTAGGGTTGCAAAATGGCCCCATTCACTTCCATTTGGTGTAGGTACTGCCTGCCAAACAAGACCTTTTGTATACATTTTGTCGCACCGGACTGCAACCGCAGCAGTGTGCACTTACAAGGCAAATGGCCATGTTAACTGGTAGCTGGGTGGTTGGGGCCAGTAATACCATGGCTCAATCACCTATTTATACCTCTCTCATACACATCTGGCCCTGATCATCTTACTCACATAGGGTTAACCCTACAACCAGAGCACAACCCCACTTATTGTCTCCAGCTGTGTAGAAGATGGTGGAGCCAGCGCTGGAGATGCCCCATTTGGTCACTAGCCAGCTCCCTGGTAGAGCTGAAAGATTGTGTGTTCCAGTGTTTGTACTGGAGATGCACGGACCGATCCTCCGATCAGAGACTGCTGAACGCCTGGGGTCCTGGGTTATCACTTCCCATCCTAGGGGGAGCCAACACTTCACTGCTACATGGAATACTTTCATGTGTGTGTACATTATATATATAGATATATGTACTAAATGGACATGTGTGTGGAAAGGCTGTGAGACAATTGTGCAGAGTAAAGAAAATACCATCCTTCCCTGTGTATGTGGAGAGGGGGACTCTGCAAAGAAATGAAGAATTCATACAAGAGGTTCATAGACCACACAGAGGGCGCTGGCATGTGCTGTACGCAGACACCCCTAGGTGGTAGTGCGTCCTAGGCGGCTGCCTAGTTTGCTTAGTGGAAGCACCAGCCCTGATTGTCACCCAGTATGACTGGTAACTAGGCAAGCATAAAAATGGATTAACAATGACAATAACACAATTTAGCATGCAAGTTCAGCAGTGGACAATGATAAATATTAATTTATGGTACTGTCAAAGTGCATTGATGGCGACTGTGCTAGGCCTAGACTGTGTCATGGTCTGGAGTCAGGCTCAGAGGCCAGTAGCTATAGCAGTGGAGCAGCTCCCACCAACAAGTGGGACATGTATCAAGCAGGTCATTCTGGCGGATGACATGGGTTCACCTGAGGTGCGGGGTCTAAGTACTAACTGGTATTCACTAGAGCACCTGATGGTGGAGATGGGTTTAGCTGTGTGTTAGTACCAGGTCACAGTCCTCACGGTCACCCCCCCAGGAGGTGGACAAGCCGGGGTCCGGTAGCGCAGAGGTCAGTAGGTATAGAAGTGGAGCAGCTCCCACCGACAAGTGGGACATGTATCAAGCAGGTCACTCTGACGGATGACATGGGTTCACCTAAGGTGCGGGGTCTAAGTACTAACTGGTATTCACTAGAGCTCCTGATGGTGGAGATGGGTCTAGCTGTGTGTTAGTACCAGGTCGCAGTCCTCAGGATTGCCCCCCCCAGGAGGTGGACAAATGGGGTCCGGTAGCTCGGAGGACAGTAGCTATAGCAGTGGAGCAGCTCCCACCAACAAGTGGGACATGTATCAAGCAGGTCATTCTGGCGGATGACATGGGTTCACCTGAGGTGCGGGGTCTAAGTACTAACTGGTATTCACTAGAGCTCCTGATGGTAGAGATGGGTTTAGCTGTGTGTTAGTACCAGGTCACAGTCCTCAGGATCGCCCCCCCAGGAGGTGGACAAGCCGGGGTCCGGTAGCGCAGAGGTCAGTAGGTATAGAAGTGGAGCAGCTCCCACCGACAAGTGGGACATGTATTAAGCAGGTCACTCTGATGGATGACATGGGTTCACCTAAGGTGCGGGGTCTAAGTACTAACTGGTATTCACTAGAGCTCCTGATGGTGGAGATGGGTCTAGCTGTGTGTTAGTACCAGGTTGCAGTCCTCAGGATTGCCCCCCCAGGAGGTGGACAAATCGAGTCCGGTAGCTCGGAGGACAGTAGCTATAGCAGTGGAGCAGCTCCCACTGACAAGTGGGACATGTATCAAGCAGGTCATTCTGGCGGATGACATGGGTTCACCTGAGGTACGGGGTCTAAGTACTAACTGGTATTCACTAGAGCTCCTGATGGTGGAGATGGGTTTAGCTGTGTGTTAGTACCAGGTCACAGTCTTCAGGATCACCCCCCCAGGAGGTGGACAAGCCGGGGGCCGGTAGCGCAGAGGTCAGTGGGTATAGCAGTGGAGCAGCTTCCACCGACAAGTGGGACATGTATCAAGCAGGTCACTCTGGCGGATGACATGGGTTCATCTAAGGTGCAGGGTCTAAGTATTAACTGGAATTCACTAGAGCTCCTGATGATGGAGATGGGCTTAACTGCGTGTTAGTACCAGGTCCCGGTCCTCAGGATCGCCCCACCAGGAGGTGGACAAGCCGGGGTCCAGTAGCAGAAAAGCAGGTAGGGATCAAGCAGACGTGTAGTCAGTAAACAAGCCAAAGGTCAGTAATGAATGGTTGCAGGTTGGGATTAAGCAGAAGCGTAGTCAAGGAACAAGCCAAAGGTCGGTAATGAGTGGCAGTGAAGATATGAACGGCAGCAGGAGAGACCAGAACAAGATATCGGCTGGGGGGGGAGAGCAAAATAATCTGGCAAACAGGAAGTGCAGAGACTTGGCTTAAACCAGGAAGTACATGGGAGGAGCAAGGAGTTCAAGGTTCAAGACAAACAATGTTCAAGGCAGAATTATTGAAGGAATTGTTCAGGGAACTATCCAGTATTCCAGGTGGCTCAACAAGAAGAATCAATGCCAGACACCACGAGGTCCTAGGTCATGACAGAGAGACTGGATGTGCGCTGTCCATAGAAATGAAGAAAAGGGGACCAGGGAACTTGCAGGATGGTTTAACTAGAGGGGCAGTCCATTTATATTGTTCTACTGCCGGCTATCATTGGGGCTCTGTAAGAAGCATTGGTGCACTTAATGACATTTTTAATAAACCAGCATGCAGTATAGGTGCAGTAAAGATGTAATATACGTGCAGTGTAGGTGAGAAATACTTAATGTCCTGCCTCCTGTAACTCAGTCCTTGCTAGCAGTGTGAACAATGGACAGTTAGCCTTCTCACCAGTCCCTGTGGGACTCAGTCTTCACAGGACTGAGCTTGAGGTCTGCAGTCACTTTTGCAGCAGGTGTTTTCTTATTCCGAGTCACAATCCTGAATAATGTCCTTTTGTCTCTGTCGGTCAGTTGACCATGTCAACCGCGTTTATGCTTACCAGACAAAGTTTTCCCGGAAACTGCATAGCCCGCCATGATCTTTAATACTGGACCTCGAGACACAGCAAATAAAGTGGCAACTTCAGTCACAAAGGCACCATCTAAACAGCACCAACAATTTACCCTCTTTGAAGCTCGGTAAGCTGACATGACTCCGTATTCCAGCAGCGCATGCAGTGAATGACGAAAGTGAGGCTTCCCACCTGTTAGCTAGGTGTCTCATCACACAGTGGAAGCAAAAGAATGTTGCATCACTTCTGCTTTTCGCATGTTGCCACTTTCACACCAGCAAATCATGTAGTGTTTCCATTTTTTGTCT